GATATGCGTCCCCACTTGATATGTGGCTGTAGACAGACTTTGGAATTTTCCTCTCGTCCGTCTTTTTAGGTTTTCTATTATGATGAACTTTGACACACGGGACAAAACACAAGGACACAGGCTCGTAAATATACAAAATTTCAATAATTCGTGAGCATATGTGATAGTTCTTCACATGGTGATCAAAACAAAACAGCTTTTCGCAGTTGCACAGGAAATAAAGAAAGAGCTAAGGTGATGTAGAGGGTGCCACAGTGGGAAAGCCACAAAGAGAAAAATCCCTCGTAACTTCTTTCAGAGAATCGTTCCGCAGATAACGAAAACGGATTTGAGCTCAGCGTCGCAAGACGCGTGCATTGGACTACATCCTCATTACAAATGGCCGGACTGACCAATTGACCATTCCTCGTAAGTCTGAACCTAAACTTAACCTTAAGCTGCAACGATCGCGCAACTGTGGTGACCTGACCCCAGGAGGAGAAACGCACGTCTCCCTTAACTGGAGTGCTTGCTCATCCAGACATAGACTTCTATTATGTATCTACAATATATTGCCTACGCATGGGGAGCTAATCCCTGCCTTTGTTCTGTATCTGCCGTACTCTCCAAGCGCCTTTCACGCCTCGATTAGCACCCCAGTTGAACCAACCATCACCTTTCCTTTTCTCATCTTATTTTCTGTCCACAGTGAAATGGGGCCAGCCGTTTCCTTCTTGTAGCGTGTTCTTGTGGGGAAACTCCTCGTTCAGAAACGCGTTCTAGTATTTTTCCCACCTCTTGAAATCGCAGTATCTTCAAGTCGCGTTATTCAGTGTTCATTCTCCCTCAATTTGTAACCCACAGCTGGACCTTTGATCTTGTTTGCTACAATATTTCTAGTAGATACCGCTTAGACACCGTTGCGCCATTTTTCCAGCAGGGTTAACCAAGGGTAGGTTATTTCTCTCCAAGATTTCGTAAGGAGCGGAGTGGGACGCTGATCACATTTGGGTATTGGGAACAGGTATTGGCTTTTTCTTGTAGAAAATATAGAAAAATTTTGAGTGTTTTCTAAGATATCATTTTTTTCTAAAATCATTTTTCGACACTCATTTCGTCAAGTGGGGCACTGAGGTGGGTGAGTCTTGGGACTAAGCCTTATAGAGGCGAAGGGTTTCTTGGGGATGGCGTGAGCAACCTTTGTTCTCCATGACCTCTCCCTCTCTCTTGGGCTTGTCCTAGTGTCACTACCAGCGGTTTCTAAATGCCCTGTTCTGTACGGTCACCTGAAGGATTGGACGCCCATTTTTTTGCTTTTACTGCTGTATGTATATAAATTTGCGGGAAGTCTTGTTCGCTGCAGATTTTTATGCTTGTTGCTTGCACTGGTTTCCATTACTTCCTATAAACTCGAGACGTGACGTAGCAAGGTAGTCACGGGATGGGATAAGCGTTCAGTCGTCGTGCTGCTGATCTCCACTTTATATAAAATTAACTAGGAAATGATAATCTTATGTTGTGGCTGGCATATGACTCTGCCTTTCGCATTACTTTATTCTTATAGCCTTCTGCGATCCAGAACGCTTTTCCCAGCTCAAAAAATGATGAAGCCTTCCTTCTATGCTTGGTACTTTGCTGCGCCTTACAAGTCGCATTCGCAAGGGAAGGCAATTTTGCACCATAAGCTACTCTTGGCCCCATGTGCAAGGGGGTGGTTCTATCGTTCCATACTAGTCCAATACCAATTCATTGAGGGGGGGGGGGAAGGATTTCAGCCTAGGTAACATTTGGTGCTATATTTGACTCCTGGATAGCGGTTATGGTCGAAGGCGCCACTGCTACTGCACCTATTTGCCCTAAAAACTAAAGTTGCTAGCTCTGTATCTCTGTCAAACTGTTTTCACAAAGGCACAACCCGGCGTCGTGTAAACGTTCTCTTTGCCTGCAAGAGAGAGCCCCAGGCAATCACAGATATTTGCATTTCCATGCACGGAATCACCCGACAAGAGCGCTAGGATCTTTTGAAATGAGCTGTAGCAGCTGCAATTTTTTCTTTATCGCGGTCATCTGGCGCCTGTAGTCTTTTCCGCTCTCTCGCCTTATCCTGGTCCTCTCCGCGCAAAGTCTCTCATTGCCTTATGGTTAGCACAACCGATTGCGAGGGTGAGAAGCCCTTGATCAAAGCATTTTCGACTGACTTCTTTTTTCCATTTTCCAACATTTTATCCAGAACATGCCTTTTGAGGACAGATAGAAAACAAACACATTTGTCAATACAAGTTTACGAATGTTTACATTGAAAATGTTCAGAGAATCTCAACTATCTTTTAAGGAAAATTAATATTCAGTGGTCGCTCCATAAAGATGGTGCTCCAAAGTTTGCGGGTCGTAGGGAGTCTGAATGTCATTGCTTATGCTTTGGATGCGCTCGCCCAATTCGATGTTCCACATTGCTGATTTTCCCTCGTAACAGTCCCAACAAACTGAAGAGACAGGGTTTTATTTCTCTGATGCAGGCCTTCTTCTAATTTGTAGGGTAGAAACATTGACTGCGCTAATGCCCAGGTTCTCCTGATTACTTCATCTTTTTCAGTGACCTTTAAAATTAGTTCCATTACTTTTTATCATTTTTAAAGTGATTCAAAAATGAGTTTCTAATCGAATCATGATATCGTTCAATTGAAACTCTTCCTTCATTGAACCAGTCTGAATTAAAGACGGACGCGAACTTAATTCATTCAACCCTAAATTATTTGGCATTTTTCCAAGCTGCAAATACATCATTAGGCTTTTTCTGAGCACTGAAAAGATCACACGGTACTTAGGTACACAAAACTATTAATAGATTATTGGTTACTGATGAAGAAGACGGCAGAAATCTATAGATGTGCTCACATAAGGGCGGTGCGGCCTGCGTTGGGTTAAAAGCTCCTGTACGTGGTGGAAAGAGCAGCTAAGCGCAGTCAGTCAACTCAGAACATTCACAACAGAAGACCATAGTTCTCTATAAAAAACCAGGACAAAAATAGCTCCCCGAGAATAGATTGGATAGCTAACTACATTTTTAGCAGCACTGCTGCTACAAATTTCAGTTCCATTAACGAATTCCTGATAAACGGTAGAAACAAGATTAAGGACTGACGTCAAGCATACAAGCACGTCACTCAGACTACTACCAGTGTGGATCGCAGCCGAGGATTTCTGAAAAGACTGTCTTGTCTGCTTTGCCGGGGAAGATAAGATGTCACCTTATGAAAGGTCACCCTAACCCTCGACGTCAACCCTACTGGAGCACGGCATAATAAGCACTCCTGTTTTACCAAATACGTTGGGAACTTCTGAGGACTATAACTTATCTAGGACCCTTTTCTTTATGGAATCAAATAGATTAGGCTATTTTACTCGGAACAGACCCTAGCGTTTACGCCCCCCCTTCCAACAGCGCATCGCAGCCACGAGGCATCCTAATCGGACTCCCTAGGAAAGGACAGGTTTCGGAAAAAAAATTTCTCGCGCTGCTTAATCTCTCCTCCTCGCCAAAGTTAGCCCCTTTTAACGAAAATGAGAGTTTTGTCGCGCTGCGACAATGCAACTGCACCTAATAACCGCACCTTACGATAGCGCCCGAACTTGCGCTCCCCCCTGCACCGAAAATCTTTTTTTTTTTTTTTTTTTTTTTTTTTTTTTTTTTTCTTTTTTTTTTTTTTTTTTTTTTTTTTTTTTTTTTTTTTTTTTTTTTTTTTTTTTTTTTTTTTTTTTTTTTTTTTTTTTTTTTTTTTTTTTTTTTTTTTTTTTTTTTTTTTTCTTTTTTTTTTTTTTTTTCTTTTTTTTTTTTCTTTTTTTTTTTTTTTCTTCTTTTTCTTTTTTTTTTTTTTTTTTTTTTTTTTTTTTTTTTTTTTTTTTTTTTTTTTTTTTTTTTTTTTTTTTTTTTTTTTTTTTTTTTTTTTTTTTTTTTTTTTTTTTTTTTTTTTTTTTTTTTTTTTTTTTTTTTTTTTTTTTTTTTTTTTTTTTTTTTTTTTTTTTTTTTTTTTTTTTTTTTTTTTTTTTTTTTTTTTTTTTTTTTTTTTTTTTTTTTTTTTTTTTTTTTTTTTTTTTTTTTTTTTTTTTTTTTTTTTTTTTTTTTTTTTTTTTTTTTTTTTTTTTTTTTTTTCTTTTTTTTTTTTTTTTTTTTTTTTTTTTTTTTTTTTTTTCTTTTTTTTTTTTTTTCTTTCCTTTTTCCCTCGAAAAACCTTCATTTTTTTATTTTTGCGATAAAAGCCACCTACATCAAGATGCGGCAAAATCCGCAATTTCACGCATTGTGCTTTGATAATTTTGTGGGAAACCCCTCTCCTCACTGCTTTTTACAGTTTGAGTTGGTATACAAGGGCGTAAGCTTTCGAGGCATTCTCATACCACTTATAAGGAATAATCACAATCATACGATATTCACACAGTTGGGCACGTTGCTCACAAAGCCAAGCCCTATCTCAGTTTGACATGGTGCACCCTAAGAAGGTTAACCAACGTGTCATATCTTTCTGGTCACTATTATACGACATGACGTGCGAAGGCGTGTTGTTGTCGTGGAGTTCAGCCAGTGCCGTCAAAAGCATCAGGCTCCTAGGGCATCTAAACAATTATCTCCCGTCTTCGCTCTCAGTATAGTCATTTCCTGACGAACTCTTGCTCTTCATTTCTTTGCATGATCCTTCTTCAGAGATGACGTTTTGCTCGCTGCCACGATGCTTTTCGATGCCTTGCTTCACGCTATTTGTTCAATCGCTTCCTTTTCAGATATTCGACAACGATGATGAGTCAATTATTCATATAACGAGATGAACATGGATCCGCTGCTGCTCAACGACACGCTTGAGAACTGTTTTCGGCCGCCGGAGACCGAGATCTACAGGTACGGCCACGCTTGTTACCTTTCTACAAACATTTTTTTCACCTCGACAGACTAACTCTCAAAATTTCCGAGAACTTTATTTGAGTCCTCACACACATCAGAGCGCCCCCGAGCCAGTCCCTCAGTGTTCGATTGATCAAAGAAGGTGTTCTACCGCCCCCTAGCAGGCGCTGCGGCCTCGCAGTAGGGTTATCCTTTGAGGCACGAACCTTATGGCTCATGGCAATGCTCTTTGCTACTTTCAAATCTGTACACAAGTCCACTGATCAACCTAGTGTGTGACGCAGAGTTCAAAAAAATACTCAACGAATCTTTTGAACTGGCCCCTCTCTCGTTTTTTGTCCTTTACAAGGTGGTTTAAGTCAGTCGTTAACCCGTCATTAATTGTTGTGACTCAACTGAGGACGATTGCTGGTCCCTTCTAGCGTCTGATAGTACTCTTCTCTATTTAAATACCCTGTATCCCTCCAGCGGCGCTCCATACTGGATAGAAATAAATTTAAAAATAATAAAGTATAATAAATAAAAATAATAAAATAAAAATACTAATAAATAATAATAAAATTAGTTAAATAATAAATTAACGATTATAAAAACAGACCCACTACTGATCGTGACAAAGTTATGCCCGGTAGCGTAACTGGTAGCGCACTTGCCCGGAAAGCGAGAGGTGCGGGTTCTAGTCCCGCCTGGGGCGAAAGTTTTGTTCACAACCCAGCATTCTTGTGAAACATTCGCAACGCGAACTGCGGCGTTAAAACAGCAGTTAACAAACAAAACAAGTCAAACTTAAGCATCGTGTTTTGCAATTAAATAAGAAAAGGTGTAGTTTTACAGAGTTCGTTCTCTTCATCCAAATAATTATTTACAGTAGCGGTCAAAAGTGTTCGCCGAAACGATTTCAAGGCATTATTTTTTTCTCTTCAAGAGCTACACCCTTCAAAGATTGATATACTATGTTGCCTAGTGTTTTTATATCCACAAGTCTCAAGAAGATACTCAAAAGAAAGGATTTTCGAGGTGACTACCGATTTTTCCGGCAAAAAAAATAGAGAATAACGGAAAACCGTTTCGGCTAGCACTTTTGACTGCTACTGTATATTAGGTGTAGGACTAATTTTCTTCACCGCCTTCGTTGAGGGCCTCTTTGGCAAGTTATTACGCCTTCGTACCGTACCGAATCGCTAGATTCAACTACGTGTTACATTTTTTGAACTTTACTGGTCTGTTGCCAGTGCGCTGTTCTCCTGAATATCAGGAGCAAGAACATACTAAACAATCTCCACGAAGCCTAATCCAACCACTCGTCCGACAGCTCATTAAACCTTGAGTGTGATGCTCCTAGGGGATCCTTCATTTGTTGTTCACTTGTCCCTCTGTTCTTCTCGCCGGTTCGTGGTTATTTCTTTCCTTCACTCATGGGGCACCATTATTCCAGCGCTGAGTGAATAAACAAAATAACAAGCATCCGTAGTTCAGCCTTCCTTGAGATCCAGCACACGCATGACCTTCCGCCCAAATCATAGTGATATTTGAGTGCGACCTTAAGGCCCCAAAACCCTGCGGCAGCAGCGCCGAATAAGCAAGTTTTGTTTCTGTCTCCTAGTCGAATCGCATCACACCAAGCCGACCCTGGAGAATGACGACTCGTTGACCAAATGTGACTTCACCCTAGATCTGCTGTGGCCTAAGCCAGTGTAAGCGTGTCAGTTTTCCGTCACATTAGATATAGATAATGATAAGAGTTATGAGAAATGGAAGATTTATCACATCGCTATGCAAACATGAAGCCCGAGCTATGGACCGCACGCGTAATGATAAGCGCCTTCCCCTATTCCGTATGCACTCGGGTTGATCTCTATAGTTATTCCTCTTCCCAAACATATCGGGATAGAGGTTGGAGTAGTGGAACGGGGGGGGGACGTGTTGCTCAGGAAAAACATGGTTGAGAAGGATAATAAAAGTGTGTGTGTTGCCTTACGACGCACATGCCTAACAGGAACTATTCTGTTTTCTGAGCGCTCGAGCCAGGCCACCTTTGTACTCACATTGCTTTCGTGTTATGCCGTAGAGACTAATCAGGGATACATAAAGCCTCGCTGAGGATTTCTAAAGCCCACATAATTATATTCACGAATTCCCTTTCTGAGAATACTACAACACGGAAGTTCTATTGTTGCTTTGGTGGGGTCTTTATAAGCAAAGTCAAGCTTCAAAGAGAGGTAAAACAGGTGTTCTGGAACTTCGGGTACGTACTTGTGCTGCTGTAAATAACACTTTCGTTAACGCATGTACCGAATTTGTTGACCCAAGCATGGATAAACAAATTCAAGACAAAAAATAATGTAAATAGAAAAAAATTGACCAAGAGTCCCTTTTGATAACAGCTCGAGCCTGAACAAGGTGCCGCCCATGGGCTCAGTAGACAAGGATTTTTAGTATTTGTTTTAATTTGTTTTGTTTTGTTTACTGGTGATCTTGTAATGTAAATGTTGTAGCTAAAATGCTAAGCTATATGCCAAGTGTTTGTTATCTGACTCTCTCGGCCTAAGTATGCTAACGTCGACGATTCCCCAAAAGAGGGGGGTGTACTTAGGGAAGATTGTGCTGGGTGAAGTTAAGTGTGTACTCCGGGCGGGGGAAGTAGAGGAGTAGTGAATTGTCTTTCTGAATTCCTATGAAACCCTCCACCTCACCCTCCTCTCCCCGCTCAACAGTTTTTTGAGATTCATGTAAGGTGGTATAGGTGCGGAATAGAATAGAACGCGGAGGGTGATGAGATGTGAGACTCCTACTGGGGTCGCGTTATCCCTTGAAGAAAGTCCATATGGCCAAATTTCTCGAAAACTGGCTTTCCCTGGTCCTAAAGCCTTAAAG